TTAAAACTCACATGAGCTCGACTTATTTAATATCGAAATATTAGTTGAATGGTATGTAAACTCGGTTGAAATAAAAATAGATCGATATTAGTATCTAGAATTTTTTTTATTTTTTTTTTTGTCAAACTCGTTAGGTTTGGCTTTACTTAAATATTACTATAATTGGTATTTTTAGAATTAGGGGCCAAGAACACCAAATAAAGTATATTTGTTATTAAATAATATATACTTTATTTAAAAAATATAAATAAAACAAAATTGAAAAAGGATTTGGGCCCATGTGTGAAAAATGGACCTGTCAAATAAAAGAATATCTTCGAGTTGCCAATGGGCTGTAGTTGCTCTATCATTGTGCATTTATTTTCACTTAATAAATATAGCTGATATATATAAACTCATTTTTTTATTAGTTCAACCCATATAAAGGGGTTTATTAGTTCAAGTTTGTAAATTAATATAATTTTATTACATTAAGATCAAATATGACGAACATACCTCTATCCACAAATAATATCAAAATATAAACATACCCTATTTTTAATTTGTTCAAGACAAAAAAATCAAAAAAAAAAAAAAAAACTCACAGCTGCCGCAAGACCGCCGCACGACTGCGGCCGCAACGCCGACCAGCGAGACTTCCACTGCACCGGCGATGGCCAGCGACCCACCCACTGCACCATCACCACATTTTTCCTAAACTTTTGTTTGTAAATTCGAAAACATTAATCGGGCATCGATTTTTGATAAATATGCGTGGATGAACATTAATCTAACTTACTTCTTGTTGGGTTGCAATGCTTTAGCCGATTTTGAAAAAAAAATTGAGATTGAAATTGATTTTTTTTGTGTGTTTTCGTTGATTTCCCGAATCGGTTTACCCAAACCGATTTTGTACACAAAAATCGGCGTTATAATGGACTTTACAAGTGAAAATCGACGTTGTAATGCCGATTTTTTATTTTTTAATGTTTTGTGTTTTTTTATTTAGTTTTGAATTTCATTAAGGGTAAATTAGTATTTTTATGTTGGAGGTCTTGAACTAATAAAAAATGGACTTGCATATATCCGCCGCCAAAATATATTTAAAACAAAACTGAATATTACGTCATTACTCTAGATTTCGTATTTATTTTATTTTCCATATTAAATTGTATATAATTAAGAAAAGAAATTAGACATCTATGTTGATGTGCATATGAGAGTCAGATGATATTAAGGTTATTTTATTTCATTACTCATTATTTTCATAATTAAATTCACCCCTAACATTTGTTGATTTCTTACATTAACACCCTTGTGGAGGGGTTTGATATAAGAAATTTATAAAAAGGTAAATATAATTTCTAAAAAAATAAAGGATTTTTTCGTAAATAAAAGTTACCTAATTGGTTGTAATTTACCCTAGTATTTCAGTAGCCAACTTGCTTAATGACATTTCTAAAGCCTAGAAGAACCTATTTGAGTGACACTTTTTCTGTCATTTGGTTCCAAGTGGGCAACTTTGGAGTTAGTATATAATAATATGCTTTCCTTTATCAATAAAATAATATCAATTATTAAAAAGTAAAAACCAAGTAAATAGTTATTACATAATCAACCATAATCATCATCAGAAGTTTAATATTAATAATTATTACATACTCCATACAGACATAATTCAAAAAATTAATCCTAAATTCCAAGTCTCAAAAAACACTGATTAAACATAGTTACTATGTACAGCAAAAGCTCCTTGTTGCTTAACCGAGCTCGATTCTTGCGCTCGATCGTCCTCCTAGAAAAACACAAGCAAGAAACTGTCAAACCCGTCGTCATATACAATAAATTTAAAAAAAGGAAAAAAAGCGCATTCGATATGAATATTCATGCCGAAAACTACTACCGAGGTTACGATATCTTTCGATTTTGAAAATTCTTTCTATGTTAAAAATAGTTTAGTTAAGAGTATATTTGGAAAGGGCACCTTAAAAAACATCGTCTGAAGACCAAAGATCCACTGCATTCCCTCCATTGAGAATGGCATCTATAGAAGCATCCCAATTACTCTCGAGATACGGCATCTGAAATAGCTTCATCTGTGAGTCGAATTCCGATAGATCATCGGTTAGTTTACCATCAAAGGTGGCCCCCCCCAAATCCTCTGTCCCCACCTTTGTTCTCTTCGACACCGACAAAACATCCTCGACGACAACAGATGTAAGAACAGACGATATTTCCGGGGTTTTCTCACAGTTAGTACTTCCCCAGCCGAAATCCGAGCAGTCAAACGAATTACTCCCTTGGTCATGGGAGAGAGGAGTGAGTGGTTTCAAGAAACAGTATTCATTGTTGTGGATGTTCGTAAAACTTGTGTTCTGATTCAGGTTAGGGTTAATCGAATCATTTCTCGAGTTCACCTTAACTGTGTGTCTTGGTGCAGAGAGTGGTGAATCTTCGGGGAAATTCAACTTGGCTTTCTTGCCCCTGATTTTACGAGCTTCGCTGTCGTAAGCTCTAGCAGCTTCTTCAGCGGTGTTAAAAGTACCGAGCCATACACGGACCCCTTTTGACGGATCGCGTATTTCAGCGGCCCATTTACCCCATGGGCGCTGTCGGATTCCTCTGTACTCGTTCTTTCTCTTTCTCTTTGTGGACTTTTCTTCATGGGATTCAGCAGAGTCAACAGATTTCAAACCTTCAGGAAGAATATACATGAAAACGATGAGCCGAAATATAATTCAATACGCAAAGGTAAGTCCTAATTATAAATAACCTTTGTATTCTGTAAAACAAGAACCGTAAAGCAGGTCGAAAATGCGAGTTGGGAAAGAAATAATCGACTCCGAGAGTTGAAACTTACCACACACACACACACACACAAATCGAATTTCCATATATCAATTGTGAACTTGCAGGTAATATGGTTTTAGTGAAGCATTAATGGAATCCACATAACAATATATGTTTCATCAAACAAATTAAACAGAGCCATAATATATGATAATAAATCATAAATTACATTTTCAATCCTTAAATAGCATACTAAAATCCAGAACTCAGGATAACAATTTCAATCGTTTAATTCAATCATAAATCTCGAAATTCATACTTAAACCCCAAATATCATATGAAGCTACTCAAAATCCAAAAAAAGTACCCAGATCATAGATCATCAAACCAGGTATTAAATAAATTCACCCAATATTTAGGTTTCAGCCAAAAAATTAAACAATACAGTAGTAAATCAAAATCAAAATTACACCCTAACCAATCAGATAGCACTCTAAACAAAGTCAACAAATCATAAACATAAACCAAAACAAGAGAAATCAGTATCAGTACCAAAAAAAAAAATGACCGTTACCTTTAAAATCAGGATTTTCCGAAGCGGAGAAGGAGAACGCTTTTGTCACAGTGCTCTCCTGGAAATCCTGAAAATCGGCTTCAAAATCTTCGTATAAATGAAATTTCTTCTGATATATCAGCGGCTTCGAGTGATAGTTCCCGGTATTTTTCTTCTTGTTCAGATCGGCGGCGGCGGCGGCGGCGGCGCTTCCCCATAGCAGGTCGGCAGTGAGCCGGCGAGACGACGCCGGCGGTGCCACGTCGGATATTATAGCTCCTCCACACATTTCAACTTAGGTTTTCACGTTTGTTTTTTCCTGGTGAAAATTTCTGGCTTCAAATTGAGTATTGAATTTGAACAGAATCGGGGTTTTATAGAGTTGGGGAAATGAGGTATTGTTACAGTGAACAAAACGGAGGGTGGCGATATGGGAATTTACTTATGTGCCCCTGTAATATGGCGTAATTGCGATTTGGCGGCCCGATTGGACTCAATTGCCCTTGATTACTTAAGTGGTAGTATTTATAGAATAAAAATGAAATATAAGTGTGTTTATAATATATTAGTGAGATGTTAATAATTACGAAATATATGTAAATAAATTGAATTCAGATATATTTTCTTGTAAATTAACATCCTTATTTTAATAGTTTCTTCTAATTTCTAATATATAGGAGTGAGCAAGTCGGACTCATCAACCCGTTGAACTTATCAAACATAAAATTACCGTCATGTTGGTGTTAGAAGGATAGTAGATCAACCAATAGTATAAGAAATTAATAATATATAATACATGAATAAAATATCTCTTATATATCAAAACTTACATCTATAACGACGATATCGACTCATTTTGTTCATAGCTTTCTGTTTTATTTCAAGATTTTGTCTTATAAATTTTGAATTTAATTACTCTTTTTAATGGATATACGGTTAGAATGTATTAATTTTAATTTACTCTTGAAATTTGTTAGCGTTGTTCTTCACGATGATTTTAAATTAAAATTATACACGTGATCCTTCATTTTAATTTCTAAATAATTTTGCGTAATTCTCATAAATTATTAAAAAAACATATTTAAGTTATAACAGGTTTTGACCAATGAAAGTTGGGTTCGAATATAAATACACCATGGACCAGCCTATTTTAAACCCGTTTTATTCCCTCCATTTTATTTTATCTCATTTACATCCCTCAATTTATTTGCCTCTAGGTGCATGTACCAAATTTGGCACGTTAAATAATGCGTGGACCATAGTTTTTATTTTTACTTTATTTCAATCTAAAATTAGCATAAAAAAGATAAACATGACAACTTGAGAGGGCCCACATAAACACACAAATTCCGACACCCGAAGAAAATATCTTTAATTTTTTTGGAACATTTAGCTTAAATTAAAAATATAATTGAGGTCCTAATTTGAAATCTATACAGTCTTGATTTTTGTGTTATTTTTTATTTGTATCAAAATTATCAAAATTACTTACTGTTTGAGATTAAGAACAACTAATAATGAGCTCGAGATCGAAAATATCAAATTATAGTTTGAGCTTTTATATATATCGAATAATTTTAAACCAACCCTAAAATATAAATATCGACTATTGTTTTCTTATTTGGGTCTCTCCTATCTTCGTAATAACACTTACATTATAATAACAATCAAAAACTTTCTAATTTTGCCGATTGTTGTCCAAAAATTTCGACTCTGAAACATTTTTTTTATTTCAATTCAAAAAATTCCGATTTTTTAATTATGTAATTTATTTTCAAAATTATAATTTCTGAAAATTATTTATTGTTTAGATATTTCATATTAGATCCATCACCTATGGTCCTATAAAATATGTAGGCCCCAAAATAATATTAAATAAAATTATTTAAATAAGCAAGACAACAAGAGTGGGCCCACAACACAATATATTGGCCCAATCAGACAGGGGTATCAACCGCGGGTGATTTCATCATCAGTGCCTCAAAAGGTAAGGGCCAAATTCAATGCATCACTGAATTAGTGATATTATCAATTTCACCCTCACCTTTTCTATATTGTCAAATATACCCCTCTATGATAATCTATATACACAATGACCCCAATATATAATAAAATGTGTTATTAAAATCATATAGCATACAATTATGATTATAATTATTAATATTGATGCTACTTAGAAATTGACTAAATATTTCATAGGTTTTAGAATTTTGTTTTCTAGTGCAATCTACATGCAAAAATATCTGAACATTCACAAGTGTATAATCGTTGTTAAGCTTAGGCTAACAAATATTAATTAAAATTTAATAAATAATATTTTATTGTAGAAGTGAGCATATTTTTATTGGGTAAATTACAAACACCCCGTGAGATATGGTCAAATTACGAAAATCCCCCTCTTGTTTGGATAATTACAACCACCTCCTCAAGTCCTCAAATATACTGGAATCTTCGAGATTATATGAAATATTATCACTTTTGTATCCGTTTTATCCAATTCGAACTCTACATTTTGAAGCAAGATGATCATAATATGTGTTTTTGGCTTGTACAGTATAACCTCGATAAATTAATACTCGATAAATTAATAATCTCGCTTAAATAATAAATTTTCCCGATCTCGACTCGGGGACAACGGACTAAATTAATAATTCGCTAAATTTATAAGATATTACACATTCGAAAATTTTAAGAAGCCCCATATAATATATAAATTAATAATTCTTAAATTACATGGTACAATACATATTTTATAGATCTATGAAGGTTTAATAAAATATAATTTCATTTCCCTTTGTTTTGTTAAAGTTTACATTACCACCAATCTTGTGTCTCACTTTTTTAACATGGTTAGAACTTCTGTTATAGCTTTCACATAAATCAACATGAAATTGTTCAATAACATCGCTGCTTTAAGAGCTTCCGCTCGTGAAACGGGCTCTATAGTGCATTGAACTAATGGTACTATGAATAATATACACGTAAAAAATTAAAAAATATATATATTTATTGAAAATAATAATAAAATAATTTTATAAATTAATAATTATTAATTTATCGATAAGTTAATATTTTGCTAAATTAACGAAATTTTGATAGTCTCAACTGTATTAATTTATAGAGGTTTAATTGTATATATCAGATTGTGGTGCATCAGAAACTGTATTTTTACACAAAATGAGTACAAACTAGAGCATATTCCACGAAATCTAGATGATTATGTTGAATTTGACACCATAAGGAAGGAAGTGTAAGAAAAAAAACATAGTTGAAGAAGGTAGATGTAATTATCCAAACAAGATGATTTTTTTTTTTTTTGTAAATTGACCATACCTCAGGGGTGTTTGTAATTTACCCTATTTTTATTTGACTTGGCATATATTTGCCCATTATTATATTTTTTTAATTATGTTTAGTCCTATACATTTAGATCTTTTAATTATACAGTCTTAGTTTACTAGTCCAATACATTTATTATTTCTCTTAACATAATATTAAAATAGCTTAAACTAGTAAAGTTTATATTTATATCTCAATATTACGCGAAACTAAGTAATAATAAAATAAAATAAAATCCAAGTGTACGACTGTAGAAAATGGGTTGTTGTAGTTAATAGTTTTGGGCCAACTTAAAGTTGGGCTCGTCTTAATTGGATTATAAAACATGATTTGTTGATTTTCTTTTCTTCTTCTTCTTCCTTTCTTTTTTTTTTTTTTTTTTTTTTTTTGGGCTTGAATTTGTCAGAAATTAATCATTCTTAGTTGGGTGCACCATATGAATAAGATTTTCACAATACGAAATTTGAAATGTTAAATATCGTTTTAATTTAATTAATACGATCTGACTTTAAACTTGATTTTGACCATTTTCTAGTTTAAATTTTGACAAAATTAAAAAAAATTAAAAGTGTGGTCTTTTGAGTTAGATTTTCAATCCAACTTAAATCAGCTCCATTACATGTCGGACAACAAAGTTACAAATGAATATGTTACATTGTGAATAACTGAATATTAGGTAACTTGAAATATCGAAGTTGTAACCAGTGTTCATAGATTCATACGTATCTTTGCCACCAACATCCAATCTTAGTGATTCAAATTAAATTAAAAATTTAACCCAAAAAACTAATTTTTCCGTGTTTTTGAATTTTGCCAAATAAATATTTGAAAACGCTCAAAATCACATTTCAAGTCCGAACGTTATTCTTAAAACTGAAACGACAATTATCACATTTCAACAGTGAGAGAAAGTGCGATATTTCATTATATTTCCTCATTAAACAAAAATAAACAAAAAATTACGATTTATTAGTTTATACTCACAATACATTTTTTCAAGCATATAGTGTAAATTTATTACTTATCCGCCTTGTATTAAAATATATATTCCCCCCCCCCGCTACAAGAAAATAACTCGACTCTTTTGGGACGACGAAAACGGGTGGCGCCGCCTCCGGTAATCCTCCAAGAGTCCGGCGGTCTCACATCGACCACCGCCGTCTCGATTGCGCCGCCGCCGGAAACTCTCCAACATTTTCTGGGTGGAGATCTCCATCTCCTTCGTCTCATCAAGATAAATTTGCCTCTCTCTACACTCCACACTGCAAAACCCCAAATCACCCCTGCAAATATCACAACCCTTTAATTAAATCTTCAATTTTTTTAATGAAAATAAATTTAAAAAAAAAATAAAAATTAAATATTCTTACATGTACATGTAGATCTCTGTGTCGAGATTCAATGGCTTGTGGCAAAGATGGCATGATTTGAGATAGCAGTTATGAGAGTGATGATCGGATCTGAGAATCTGATTAATATTGAACAAGAAAATGGGCTTCACTTTAATTATTACAACAACATTTGAATTCCCATTTGAAATCTCTGTAAGAATTCTCAGCCCTTGTTCTTCGGGCCCTCCTTGTTCTTCGGGCCGGGCTTTGCAAGATGAACCCTTTTTCTTGCTCCAGATTGGAAACATGATTTCTTAGGTTTTCTCACTACTATGTGTATATGTATATATGTATGTATGTATGTTTGACTGTGTGTAAATAAATCTCTGTGGACTTGCCCCCCAGTTAGAGAGTGGCTGATTATGTGTGCTAGAGAGAGAGGGGAGAGAGAGAGATGAGAGGGAGAGAGATGAAGATTGTGAGGTGGAGAAGTTGGGATATTTAATGGGGGTAAACAACAAAAGTTAGAACATATTTGAAACACGTGCGTAATTGGTACTACAATAGGAAATATATTATCTTGTTCTAAAAGTCATTGTCCTTAGGGTAAAATTCATTTTGCACCCCTGTACTATGAGAAAGGTATCGTTTACCCCCCTGATGTATGAAAAACATCAAACACCCCCCTGCCGTTAACTTTTTTCTTGAATCCGTTAGTCAAACCCTTTGACTGGCCGTTATAAAGACCCGTTGGCTTTTTTTTTTTGACGAAATTACCCCCAATAATCTCTATATATAGATTGTCTAGTTTTAGCCCTTTTTTTACTAAATTTTCCCACTTATTCAGCCCTTTTTTCACTCTTTTCAACATGTTTTTTTCACTACCCATTTTTTCTTCTGTTCTTGAATTCTTCATTTGTCTTAGATCCACATATTTGTAAACCAACTAACTATGTTTCATATTGATTGTAACCAAACAACTTAATTTTAGATTCTTCAAAAACAACTGAACATGTTTCTTATTCTTTCCAGCAAAAACAAACGTATCCAAGAAATTGGCCAATCAAACAAAACCTATATAGAGATTATTGTGGGTAATTTCGTCAAAAAAAAGCCAACGG